TCCTTATCCCAAACTGACTAAAGTGTCTCTTGAAGATTAATTTCAGTTCTCTCTTAGAGGTACACTTGTGGATATTCAGTATCTCTTTTTGGAGGTATAGTAATAATTCCATAATTCCACTCCATTCCAATAATTCTGAGCTTGATATTCTACACATCCAAGTGTATTTTTGTTCAGCAAATCCCTCCTTTTCCACCAGAGGTACTGCTGGGTACCAGTAAAGGGCAATTTAGTAGCCTGTGTTGACCAAGGAAGAGGGTCCTTCCCCATTTTTTTCTCTTCAGTTTTTGAGAGACTGTCTTTTGGGGATGGACAGCAAATTTAATTTTGTGGGTTTTTTTGTTGTTTTTTCTTTCAGTTACTACACTTTCTGAGGTAATAATCAGCACAGGCTATATCCTTCTGGGATGGTATCACTTTGACTGCAACACTCACCCACTTGCAAGATCTGTTTTCTGTGTGGTCCTTTGTCAGAATGGGACCAAATAATGATTTTCTGCCTCAAATATTCTGAGGAGCAGACAAGAGGAATGACTTATGTGATGGCAGCTCTCCAGTGACCCTGCTGCAGTATTCATAATGCAACATTTCCCAGAGAGGGCTGAGACCTGAAAGTCTGTAGCCAGCTTTGGGATGATGTTTTGGTCAGACTGGGCTCCCCAGGATGCTTGTATATTTTGTGTATTTTTTCACAAGCCATCATTGTAATGCTGTGGAGGCTACCTTTCTTTTGTGCATTATCACTACTTTGTGAGCAAAATACATCCCAGTGTTAACCAGAATCTAGTATGGGAATACGTAAATAGAGGCAAATAGGTAAAAATGCATGGCAATTGTCTCTTGTTTGGCAGGAATGATTTCCATTATCTCAGCAAAATACTTTGTTTTCCCAGTCAGTCTTGCAAAATAACGCAGCTCCCAATTCCCAACAATGAGATTAAATAACATCTCTGTGTCCCAGTTTATAGCTTTTTAGATATTATTAGGTTGTGTATTACTTAGATGTAGAAGGAATGATGCACTTTCTGTATTGGGAGAAATTTGGGGTAATTTCAATAAGATGTTGAACTCCACAAAGCAGAATTGGAAACTCTGTAATCTTGTCTGCTACACAAATTGATCACCCTTAATGGTAGACAGCATAATACTTTTCTATCAGTACTGACCTGGCTGGACAGAGGGCTAGTTCTGTTGGTTATATGTCCTTCACAACTTCTATTGTTTATCTGTTTCTCTCTCTTTTTAAAAAATTTTTTTGAATGGTGTTTTGTGAAGAGAAGTTAGTATTTCAGAGAGTTTGTATCTGCCATGTTGGCCTGCAGGAATGAATTTGGCATAACTTCTTTTTAACAGTTGTGTTTAATATATGCAGAGAGCATTTTGCTCTCAGAGGTCATTCGAATGTCTTCAAAGGATTTCTGAATTGTTTATTGATCTACTTCATTGCTGATGTTCCTCTGGTTCTTTTTGATGTCTTGTCACTTAATTCAAAATGTAATGCCAAGCTTTAAAATTAAGGGTTGTGCAGGAAGCTGTACTTGTGTAAATATTAGGGTATGTTTCTCTTTTGAGTGAGAATGTACTAGATTGTCCAGTAAATGTTGCTGTCATCAGAGTTTTATCCTTTTCATGCCCCTCACTTCACATAGATTCATTCCTCTCTTCCTCATAAGAAAGCTGAAGTGTCTGGGGTTTTATCTTTTAGGTTTTATAAAAGTCTAATCTCTTATTATGCAATTAGAAGCTTACAGACTAGTTCTCTGATTAAGAAAATAAATTTGATTAATTTTGTTCCCTTTCCTTTAATGTTTCCCATGTATTTCTCTTACATTTGTTAAATATACTAGCTTAAAGTGTCTGTGAATTCCCTCCCTCCAACCCCCCCTTATTTCAAAGGTCTATCACCTTTTGAAGCTTTTTACACTTCTGGAGTAGAAAATCATCAGTGGTAAGGAGTTCCATAGATGGTATATTTATTTATTTATTGAAAAAGTGTTTATTTTTTGATCCTGCCACCTAAATATTCATTTGTGCATTCTCATACCATATTTTAAATTTTTGAGTAATAGCTCTTAATTTATTTTTTAAACTGTGCATGATATATTAAATATATTTGTCATAACCTGCATCAGTTGCTTTTTTCCCCCCCATGATTAAGATTAGCCTGTTAGTTTATTTCTTGTACAGAAGTGGTTTCATATCTTTGGTTATCTTGGTCACTTCTTAGGTTAAATCAAATGCAAAATCTAGAAATAGAGATACTTTCTAGTCCACTGGCTGATCTTCTGCCATCAGTGTGTAGCCACAGCAACAGCAGGGGGTTTCCTGGTACCAGATAATTTTTTGTGGAAATGTAGAAGTGTATTAAGTGACAGAGTGAGAAATAAGACTTCCCACTGGTGATGAGGCAGACCTGGAGCTGTTTCATTTAGATGTACAGCTTCTCCAGACAAGTGTCTTTGCCTTCGAGGCCACCCTGCCTGTTTGCACTTGCCCACCTGCTAGCCCACCTTCCCATCCCAGCAACAAAACCCGGGCACTGTTTTCCCAGTGCCCTCAGGATGCAGCTCTGAGTTACTGGCCAAGGGTATGTCATGGAGGTGCTGAGTGACCAAATCACATAAATTGGCCTGTTTAGAGTTATCAGCCTCTTCTGGCTCAAAAGGCAGAGGTTTGTGCCACAAAGCTGTCAGATTCATGTATTGCTGGTGTTCGCTGCGTGTTATACAGGACAATTTTTCTTTTCCTTTTTTTAAAAAAGTCCATAAGCCACTCTTTCCCCTCTCTCTCCCCCCCACCCAAAATACTGAGAATGAGTGGAAATATTGCAGAGATGGGGGGAGGCTTTTAATAGTTAAAGCTGCAGAAAGTAAGCTGTTGCATTAGAAATGGTCAAAGTTAAGGCTACGTGTGCAGTGTTAGATCCTTCTTTTGTGCGTGCTGCCCCATCAGTCTTTGGGCACTTGCATACTGTTTTCTTTTCTGTAAAACATCAGGTATTTCAACAACACCAGAAATGCTGTAAAATCATAGAGTAGAGCTAGATATGTTTATTGATGAGATTCTTTTTTTCTCCTGCTGGCTTCACCCTTTTGTCGTTACATTTCAGTCTGTAACTTGATGACACTGCTGCTCTCTCCCATCTCATTGTAAACTGCCATTCCCTACCTTTGGAAAACCTACTTCAAATGTAACTGAATAAAAAGCAGTGGAGAAAACCACATTAGGAGGGGGAAAAAGGAAAGCAAATCCTCAGCTGCAGGAAGCTGACAGTAATGTTCAGAAGCTGACAATGATGAACTGTTCATCTAAGTATAAATAGTCTTCACAGTCTCTGTGTTTCTTGCCTTGTGAAACAGTACTCGTTATTTTTTTTTTTCCTTTTTAAAATATTTGGTGATCACATCATTTACTTTGTCTAGTGTGAGCCTCTGTTGCAGTCACTCTTCACTTTGCTGTACATGAAAACCAGGAGTCTACAGACGGTCTGGTGTGCAGTGAAATGAGCAGTTAACTGTACCCCAGACTGGTGTTTTGTGATCTGCCATGTATTTTACAGTGAAAACATCAGGACAGAATGCTGCAAAATTGACAGGTTTTCAATGACAGGGATTTTAATCTTTTTCACTGTTTACATACTGAAGATGAGGACTTTGCCTCACACAAAGACACTTCAGGAAGATTTCAAACAGCAGCAGCAGCAAAAAAAAATCTTCTCTTTGGGGATGAAAATGTATCATGTAGGCTGTTTTGTCATTTTAAAGTTAAAACATTTCTTTTCCCAAGAGTGTTAGCTGAGGAAAATCTCATATTTTTTAAAGCTGTTAAGTAGCCAAGAAATCAATAATACATATAAAATGTGTAATAAGTGTTGACTTCTGTGCCTTTACTCCATGATACCTTGTCATACTTGACACAGTGTCCTTGCATAGACTGAATACACATAATTTCTATTGGGTATGTGAGAGGGTTTGAGTTTGGGAAGGTTTGTACTGCCCCATTAAAAAAAAGAAAGCAGTTGCTATTTAAAAATGATTAAAGCTCTATTTCCTGATTATGATTTTTTGTAAAATAACGTCACAAAAGAAAATCCATTAAGAAAATAGGTACTGTGCTGCAGGAAATCTCAACAAACAGAACTGCACAATGAAAGTTGTGTCTTTGGGTAATCAAAGCTGCTGCTGCTAGCTCCTGCTCTTTCAGGTTTCACTAATTGAAGTCCATTGACTTAAATCCATTGTTTGTATTAAGGAAGGGGGAGGGGGAGGAAAAAGAAAACCCCAACCCCAGAGCCTTTCTTTTTCCTTTTTTCCAGTATTGTCCCTGTCAACATGCCACAGTTTCATCTGAAACAAGGGATGCATGAAGCTTTTCTAAGTCTGGGTTTTGTCTCCCCATATTTTTTTTAATATTTGTTTAATTTGCTGACTGGCAGCTCTAAAAAAATCACTTAATCAGCATATCTGGCCCAAATACTAGGCTTGACTTGAACATACTGACAGTGTCTTGGCTCATGGACAACTGAGACTGGTTTGAATTTTTGTTCTGTGACCTGTATAGGTAGAGGTGATGGAAGAAGAAAACAATCTGAAAATCTGTCTTGTTCCTTTCCCAACAGTGCCACAGAAGTCAAGCCCCAAATGCTTCTTTTGATCTCATTTGTAACCTCATGTAGCTTTGGAGAGTCACTTCTAACTAAAAAGAAGTAGGACGAGCTGCTTCTGTGGGAAGAGGAGCAGCTCTCTCATTCCACTGCTCAATTTTGCAGGCTTGTGTTTGAGTCACTTGGTCCTTTTGCCCTCTCTGAAGCACCAGTGTATTGCATTTACTTTTGTGACCTGAGGAGCTGCCAAGCAATGTAATCACATTGGCAGTTCTGGCTGACCAACACAGAAAGCTTCTTCTCCCTCTCTGAATCCAGGGAAGCCATCTGAGCTAGTTACTGTGTCAACAAGCCCTATCAAGATCCAAGACTGACTTACTACCTTATCTTTTTCCAGGTACTCTACATCTGCATTCTCCAAACTAAGCAGAGTAGGGATCCGACATCCTCCACCTCTTCCTTTCATTGGAAACCTGCTCTTTTTCCGTGAGGTAGGATACGTTTTTCTTTGTATCAATCAAAGTGATGGGAAGAGTGGATAGGAGGCAGGAGGAATTGAAGGGAATCCTTCAGTTCACTGGTACTGCCACTTCAGCCATGTCCCTCTGGAAAGGACAAGCAAAACTCAGCTTTTTCAATGAATTGGTAGAAGCAGTTGTGTGTAAGCAGCTCTAATTCCAGGATAACATAAACTTGAGGGAAAGAAAATGTGTAAGCTCCTGCAGTTAATTACTTGAGCTTTTCCAAGAAAGTTCATGCCCTCAGTGAAACAAACCTAGTTATGTGAATAGAGCAGATTATGTTAACTAGCCCCAACTGGTTTGTTCTGAGTGGTTTTGGCTCCTACAACCTTTGTTTGTTTGCACTTTTGCCGATTGTACACATTTATTTTAAAGCCTTTTATGTTGCTTGCTCCCAAGCAGTAACTGGAATTAGGTATTGCTGAATGTTGTTGCTCTGTGCTGCAAATACTAGGGCTGTGAGGAAGAGGAAGTGGTGGCATTTTGCTTCTAGATTTTATTCCCTTATTTTTCTCACCCATCCTCTTTCAATAATACTGTGTTTTGTTCCTTGTTCTATTTCAGTGGCATTGCTGAAGGTCCAAGCTACCTTAATAATGAGGAGCTGCCATTTCTCTGGTTGGATCTTACAGTAAAATCTCTCCAGAGTGTCTCTGTTGCAGCCCAACAACTTTTCAGGAAATCTGGGCCAGCTCCATCTGCTGCCCAGTTTTCCCTGTTAAGTGCATGGTCATCGATATCCATGCTGAGATTTGAATTATTAATGAGAATATATTGCCTCTTACCTTGATCTTCATGGTGATTGTTTTGTCGATACCTGACTCATTATTAGGTAAAACCCTTTTAAATACCAGTTTTACATGTACATCTGATTTCATTTAGAAAATAGCGTAAAAGGTAGACTTAATCTGCTCTAGATTAATTTGAACTGGAATTGGCAGGGTGACTTTAACTTACAAGGGATTCTGTTGGTATGGGATGCTGACCTGTTCACCTTCACTCTTGGGGTTTCAATTCAGCTGGGTGGCAGAAAGCCACTCATTCTGTAGCTCCTTAGTGGTGAAATCCAGATATCATTAGTTACCTGCTAACACTTGCTGTTAGGTAAAGGTACCTAGAAACCAAGTTATTTTAGTATATTTTAGATAGGCATGCCCTGTACCAGCATAGAAGTGTAAAGATTTTGGGAAATTACCCAAAATGATCAAATGATCTCTTAGGCAAATTTCATGACTAGAATAGCATTCATTAAATTAACTTAAATCAGACTAATGCAAAAAAGTTAACCTTGATTTTACTGCTTTTTAGGAAGAAAAAGAAATTAAAGGTAGCTGAGAAATTGTACCTTGGGGTACCAAGAAACAACTGTTTTGAAATGGAGTCGAGTGGTGTAAAGCCATAAGCACTGCCAGGCTGCAAGTCCAGCACTCTGGCATTTCATCACCCATCTTCTCTACCATGCTATCACTGCCCGTAGGAATGGGCAGGGAGGAGCCCAGGCTCTTGATAATTTTTCTTCCTCCTCTCATATGTATTGCCATTTTTTTCTGGATCTTCTCCTGGGGCTGCTTTCCTAGAATAGTGCCCATAGCAAGGAGCCAGTAATGGGAGCTCTGCTTTTATACTGCAGGCTCTTGTCTGTGAGAGCATTTTCAGGGACACGAGTGCCCTCACTGCAATCAGTAGAGGATGTTGTCCACTTTCTCTTTTCCCCAGGTGAGAACCAGGGTTTGCCCATCACCTTCCTGGAAATAGGGATGGTTTTAGGGGCTTAGCTGTGAGGGACACTGCTGTGCATGAATACAAGCTTGATGGGGTTGGGTTTATTTTATATACTTTTTTTTTTTAATAGGAAGTAAAAAAATGTTGATTTTTTTATGTTGCTCCGTATATAATATTAAGAAGTTCTTGCCCTTCCATGTTTATGCAACCATTCTCTTTCCACCAAAATAGCTGTTTGGAGAGTCTCCGTTTTAAACAGGCTGGCTCTTTCTTAGTATTGCTAATCTTGTGCAGGGAAAACACATGAGCCACACACCCATTAAATCGTCAAACTAGTGCTTTTCAACCATGAACATTTATTTCAAAGGAATTAATGAATGGTGACTAAGAGGAATGAATTGATACGTGCCGTATGGGAATCTGCATGTGTGTAATTCATATATTTCCAGTGTTGAATTTGGTCTGCAAATTAACACAGGCTGAAAAGCCTGAACACAAGTGAGATCTGGAAGATAAAAGGAAATCAAGAGGCTTCAACATATGCCGCCTTGTAGTCCAAAAAGTGTCCTCATCTTATGGATTCAGGGTTTTCTCCTAGAATGTGTTTGCTAGAAATGCAAGGAAAAGAAACAAAGCAGGAGAGGAAGTCCCTTTGACATAATAGAGTAAATCTGTGACCTGGGAATTTAAGAAAAACATTAAATGCCGAAAAATCCCACCAAGGTTGTGTAAGCAGTATTTTACAATTTGTAATGGTATAAATTCAAGTGTTTGCTTGTCTTCTCCCTTACTTGGGTGTAAATCACTTCTACTGAAATAAATGGAGTTTCCTGTTTTTCTGCACTGTGCATGTAATCAGAGCTTCAGGCCTCATCCTTTTTTATGCAATTCTTCTTTAAATGTGCCTGAAAACAAAGGAACAGTGCAAGCAGGATTTTACCAGTAGTGCTGGGTTGTGGGGTATTTAATAAACTTTCAAAGGTATTCTAAGCAATAAAATATTTTGTTAATGAGATTTTTATTTGTTTTAAAAATTATTTCAGAGATGTCTTGAACAGTGTATTTTCTTTGAGTAAAATAGTAGTAGCTGTTAATGTAGTGTCTCTGAGAGAGGAAGTATGGAAAGTAAAGGGGCTAAGGAAAATGCAATAGGAAAGAGCTATCTCCATCACAGAAAAGGAGAGTTTAAGAGCTGACTTGGGGAAAACAAAGTTATTTTACTGTAAGTCACCCTTCTCTCTCAAGTAAAATAAAGGGAGATAATCACACTCTGAAACTACAACATATCCAAGTTAATCAGCTTATCTCAACAACGGGAAGATAGGAAATTATTGCAGTTCTGCAGCTGGGAAATTATCTGAGTCCAAGATATTAGATTAAAAAATTCTTCCATTGCATGAGAACAATTTGTGGTGGGTAAGTCTGATGTAATAGTAAATATGATTAGGCTGCTTTAAAAAAGCAGCATGTTCAATTTTTTTCCAATAACTGAGCAGACTTGCAGCCGACAGGCTGCTGTTTTGCTACAAATTCCTGACTGTTTGCTCACCTCTCCATGTGCTGCATTTTTCCTATGAGTCTGGAAAAACATGAGGGTTGTTTGTGATAGCTGTGTAATGGTTGACACAGGGGTATACACAGCATGGACTTTCACACGTGGATCTCTATGGGCTTTATAGCAGCAGGTTGCAGAAAAAACTAAACCAAACTCTTTTATCAATTCCCAGACTAATAATTTTATTATGTGACAAATGCTCTGAAAACCGAGAAGCCACATATCTGCATCACCCTTTCTCTCTGGCAAACACTTGACCTGTTGCTATGGCTGTGCTGTGCTTTGCTACTCCTTTCCTAACATGACAGCTCTGCTGGTTTTAAATGTCATCGGCCCTGACATTTGCAGGGCCCTGGTCGCCTGGTACTGTACCTGCGTGCACTGCTCCCTCCTGGAGAGCCACACTGTGCTGCAGCAGTTTGGGGCTGCCCCTGGTGTTCTGGGGTGGTGGTGGGTGTGCGGGTTGCTCCCTTGTTTTGGTCCTTGGTAGGTGGGATGTGCAGCTGAGCGATGTGCTTTGGGTCCCTGCCGTGGTGTGATCATGTGTTGCTTTCTTCCTATTACTCCTAGCAAGCTCCAGTGATGCTTTTGACTGTCTGTGTGCTTGCATCCCTGCCTGGCATGTTAATGAAAGACATCCCTCTCTTTAGCCCCTCTCAGCTTGGACAGGATACCCTTTGTTTACTGTGTTTATTCCAGTCTGGCCTACTTGTAGATCCTGGGCTACCCCGGAGCGGCCCATTTCTGCTGAATGGAAGTGGGGGCTGTGTGGGTGCTTTGTCTTGCTTTCAGTTTGGGATCTCGCTGGGCTGTGTTGTTTTCTGGCTGATGGGTGGGAGTGGAAATGGGGGGAGTGCAAGGAGGAAGCAGAGAGTAAACATTTTTTTTTTTCCTCACTACACATCTGCCAAAAGCATCCTTCAAGTTGGATGTAAAGGAAAATAAAAGGCAGAGTCCTCGCAGGAATGAAATTACCCCATGTTTAGTTTTTAGGCTAAAAAGCACTGTATGGGTGCTTAGAGAGAGAGACTGCAGTGTTTACTGCTCTGGAATTTAATGACACAGCATTCAAACCTAAACAAGGTTGGAGAGAGGCAAACGGTGAGGGGAGCAAAAAGGGGGCAAAGGGAGGAAAAGGAGCTCTCAGGCTCTGGACCTGGATTGAATTACAAGAATAATATGACTTATATTGACAGTGAAAGCCTGCATATGGTTTTGTGTTTCTTTGTGCAGATAAACAGCAGAAGAATGAGATAGGGAGTGTGTGTTTGCAACTTGATAGCTATTTGTGTGGAACCAGAAAGGTTTTGCTGTGGCATCACCAACCAACCTTTCTCCCCCAGATGCCTACCCCCATCTGCTGTGGGCTGCTGACTGCCAGAACAGACCTCTTGGGGTGATTCAGGTCTTCTCTTACATCCTGGGAATGCCACCAGCCTAGACTGGGAGGCATGTACATGTATGTGTGCAGATCCAAACCTAGCCATTTCACTGTCTGCAACGTGACAGAAAACCTGGAATTAGATGTGGGTTTATGTGTGTATTTCTACATCTACAAAGCCAGTCTTTCACCCCTTTAAAGATGTGTATTTTCCTAGTTTCATCTGATAGTCTATGTTACCTTTGATCAGATGTTAACATTGTCAGATAACCTGACAAAGTTGGTTCAGTGTCTCTTTGTGGGAACCTAGAG